TACAAACTCAGGAGCCCAGCTGTCTGAAACGACTGAAGATGAAGCACGTTTGTAGAATTTACTGAGATTAAAGTGTTGAACTGTGACAATCATCAGTTAACACGACTTTTCAGCTGTTTGGGGGCAGAGACAGTTACCTCAGAAAAAAACCCTGTATGTTTGGAGGTGTTTGGTTGATTTTAAGCTTTAAGCTCAACAGGTTTATTCTGTACTCTGTCAATCAAAACGAGAGACTCACTTTTCTGCTTTCAAAGGAAGATATAGCAGCAGCTACTACTGTTTACTACACTGTAAAAACCCACATGCCCTTCTCAGGACTTTTATTTATTTGGCAATCATGTTGTTGTTGTTCTTTTTATTTACAGTTTTGAACTAGATGTCATTCATACTCTGCTGATTAATCACTTAATCAAATTGAGCACTTTTCAAAATTATAAAACATTTGTTGGTGTTGTTTTTAGGATTTTAAGCCTTTAAATGCCAGCTTAAACATCTGATGTATTAATTATTTATTCAAACAAACTCACAAAAAATAATTTTCCATATGGATGATGTTGCTGTTCTTTGACATTGGGGTGATTAGATTCGTGGGCATGTCAAAGAACAGCAACATCATCGATTTGATTGCATTATTATTTTTTGTGTAGTGTCTTTCGACACAAAAATGCCCCATTCACTTCTACTGAAACCACATTTTTTATGCTCTCTTGTAATACTGTTGTAGTATAAAACCATGCATCCGGTAATGTCAGCATTTTATTTTGAAGAAAAGTATTTTTTGACATTTGACATTTTTGCTGTATTCCCTCAGATTCAACCATTTTGCCATTGTAGGCTAATGCACGGAATTCTTGTCTTTTTGCAACTGGTGTGACCACCAAGGAGCCCCAAGAGTGATTTCTATGCACGTGTGTGTGAAACTACTTTTAAATCAACATCTGTTTCATTATTGAGCACATTTATTATGCAAACTGTACCAGCACTGAAAACTTTAACAACAAAAGATAAGCACAACAGAATATATGTATAAATTTGAAACTGTGTAACTGATATCACAGGTAAATGGTTCTTAGCAATTTTCTACTCTGAGTACTGAAAGGGCTTAATTCACAGAATGTTTTTTCGATGGATGTGCTTTCAATCTTACATGCAAATCCAACCACCAACCTTCAGATTAGCAGATGACCTGCTCTATCTCCTCCAAATCTGCAAAAAACATCAACAATTCTGTGTTCTTCTGTCAATATGGGGGGCTGTGTGTACATTAATGGCTGCAATATAACAAAAGGTGAAAATTTAAGGGGGTCTGAATACTTTCCATACCCACTGTATTTATATTATTTTTACTATGCAGAAATCGAGAATGCGTTCAATGAAGGACAGGCTTCTCTTGGTTTTCTATCATGATGTTATCCTTCTTCTTCTAACATGGCATTGTGGAGGTAAGTTGCAGAATAATATTGAACAATGAACATAATGTTAATGTGGTGAGAGTTTTTGTGTATATGTGATGGGAGTGTTGCAAGACAACTGGAGGAAAGATATAAAGAAAACACCACCTGGGAAATTGCAGCCCAAGAAAAATTACCCAAATGAAGTGTAATTATATTATTCGTTTATTATACTTTATCCACAGGTCAGTCTCAGATGATTGGTCCAACTCAACCATTGGTTGCAATTACAGGGGATGACATCATTTTACCATGCCAGCTAGATCCAGCTAGGGATGCTGTTGACTTGACTGTGGAATGGTCTAGACATGACCTTAAACCAAGATTTGTCCACTTAAAGCGGGACGATGCAGAGCCCGTGACTCAGAATATTTTATACTCCAGAAGAACATCACTGTCTGTCAACAAACTGAAATGCGGTGACATTTCATTGAAACTCTCCAAAGCGCAAGTGTCTGATGCAGGAATGTATAACTGCCTTGTTCCTGAAATTGGTGCAGAAACTGGGATGGAGCTCGTTGTTGGTAAGTTGACATCAATACCATTTGCTCTTAAAAAAAAAAGAAAAAACATTAAGGCATGGGATACTGACAAATAACAAAAGCTTACCTTGGATGACAAGATGGATATTCTACTGGGAAGTGAATCATCCTCAGGAGCATATAAGTTGAATACATTTTGGGAAAGACAGATTAGTTCTTACTTGAGCTAACATAGCTAACTGGATTGAGATTTGGACTGACAGTTTATTGAGTTCTCAAGAAGTGCAGTTTACTAACAGGAGAGTGGTGTGGAAGATAGTGAGGGTATTTAGAATTAGAGACATTTCATAGGGCATTAAGGCCAATGAGAGGAACATTTGGGCAGCTGGGTAAAAAACTACAAAAGAAAAAAGCATTTGACCTGACCAGATGGACATTTAAATATGTAACAGGATTAAATCGGACAACCATAATGGATCTTTAAAAGAGCATAGTAGTATTTATAATTACAATTTAGGCCACTGTACCATTTCAACAAAAAGCTATATGGCGTGACCACAGGGTAATTGAAGGTAATCGGGAAGGAATTTGGAATAACATGAACCATTGAAATAATTCAAAAATGTTTTAATTCTGAACTTTGATTCCAAGTAACTTTTATCCTTATTTTACTCTGTAGGTTCTGTTTCTTCTGTAGTCATGGAGATATCCAAAGTCGAAAATGTAATCTTCTTTAAATGCAAATCTAACGGCTGGTATCCAGAGCCTCGGGTGTTTTGGCTGAACAGTCAAGGAAACCAAATCACAGCTGAATCTACAAACAGTGCCAAAGGTTCTGATGGCCTCTATACTGTCAGCAGCACTGTGACTGTGAACAAGAGACAGACCTACAGTCTCACCTGCAGAGTCCAACAGAAGAACATCAACCAGACTGAAGAAGCACATATCCATGTATCAGGTAGAAAAATGATATATGCCTGACTCAGGGCTGGACTGGGACAAAAAATCAGCCCGGGCATTTTGACTAGAGACCGGCCCACCAGGAATGGTGCCAAAAAGCCTTTGAATGAAAACAAACGCTGTTGTGACAGTGATGTACAGTCTTGTTGGTATTTATGTAGGATTTCTATACATTTTACATCAGATAAAAACTTTGGTTGTAAGATTCAGATAATTATTTGTTAAAAGTGAGACATTTTAAATGAGAATAAGAAAGAAAAGTATTTCTTTGTGCCCCCCATTCCTGTTATTTTCCCAAACTGGGCCCCAGGCAAAACTTTGCTAGACCCTCCCCTGCACAGTTTCCAGCTGTCAGCTACGTAGAAAAGGATCCTGGTGTTATTTGTCTCTCAGAAATAGTTCATAACTTCCCTTTAGCCTATTGATGCCACCTAAAAGGTAAACCTGTTTCTCCATCACCTGTTCAGCTCTGATGATTCAGTAAGGACATCTCCTGGTTTCATCTTCATGTTTCCCTCTCACCACATATCCAAACC